AATTTAAAAGGACTAGCAGAAGTTTGTTTACTTCAAAGGTATTTACTGCCAACCAGCAATCCTGACCTTTTGAATACATAGCATACCACCAAATGTCTTCAAATACTTTGAGTATATCCTTTTGACAAGAAAGGATATATTCAAAATTATTAAGGCACTTTTAAACACTAAAATTTAAAATTTGATCACCTGAAGAGAAGGTGCTTCACCTGAAGAATTGAGACAAGATATAGCTGCTAAACTAGAACTCCATTGGAAGTCACTGGGTGGCAGCTGCAACTCCTTGCACAGAGATAACTGGAAGAAAGAAAGAGATGTCATAATAAATATGAGACTGGAAGAACCTATTCCTCTGCCACAAAATCTTTGGACTTTTTGACCCTGCTAAAAACTACACTTCAACTAACTCAGACACTGTGTAAGGGAACCAAAAAAAGTCATGAAACAATTTCAACAAGGTTGTCACAACCAGCAAACAGCTAAAAAACATTGTAAAATTTTCAGATATCACTGGTTTTCTTTAGTTATTTCTGAGTGTTTCTCGCAATACTACAATATTGGATCATTTGACTATTCCTTAATGCAATATTAAAAAAAAAAATTAAACTAGAAATTCTTGAGAGAACTTATTAGGTATTAACAGGATAGAGAGGGGAAACACCCCTCATTCCCCTACGCCCTTGAAGTTAAACAACCAGACAAATTTTAATGCCTTGAAAAACCTCTTCAGGTGCCAGCATGTGTACACCTGAAAGTCCCCTGTAAGTGCAGGACCTGCATAATGAACATACATCGTCCTGATTGAAAGAAACTCATTTAGTAACTTTGATTTTGTTTTTCTCTGACCATCACTGAAACAATGCTGAAAGAAATACAGTCCAGAGGGGATACAAAAATTCTCAACCTAAGAAATCTAGGTGAAACATATGTTCAGTACCTCTGAAATTATCTATGTTTTTGGGGTTTCTTACAAGTCGAAAATTGCTCCCAGAATAATCTAAACCAATCTGTAATATATAAACTAGATTTTAATTATCAAAATAAGCTTTACCAAGACTATCTAAGAGCCACTGCTTCACCTGAAGAATTGAGACAAGATATAGCTGCTAAACTAGAACTCCATTGGAAGTCACTGGGTGGCAGCTGCAACTCCTTGCACAGAGATAACTGGAAGAAAGAAAGAGATGTCATAATAAATATGAGACTGGAAGAACCTATTCCTCTGCCACAAAATCTTTGGACTTTTTGACCCTGCTAAAAACTACACTTCAACTAACTCAGACACTGTGTAAGGGAACCAAAAAAAGTCATGAAACAATTTCAACAAGGTTGTCACAACCAGCAAACAGCTAAAAAACATTGTAAAATTTTCAGATATCACTGGTTTTCTTTAGTTATTTCTGAGTGTTTCTCGCAATACTACAATATTGGATCATTTGACTATTCCTTAATGCAATATTAAAAAAAAAAATTAAACTAGAAATTCTTGAGAGAACTTATTAGGTATTAACAGGATAGAGAGGGGAAACACCCCTCATTCCCCTACGCCCTTGAAGTTAAACAACCAGACAAATTTTAATGCCTTGAAAAACCTCTTCAGGTGCCAGCATGTGTACACCTGATAGTCCCCTGTAAGTGCAGGACCTGCATAATGAACATACATCGTCCTGATTGAAAGAAACTCATTTAGTAACTTTGATTTTGTTTTTCTCTGACCATCACTGAAACAATGCTGAAAGAAATACAGTCCAGAGGGGATACAAAAATTCTCAACCTAAGAAATCTAGGTGAAACATATGTTCAGTACCTCTGAAATTATCTATGTTTTTGGGGTTTCTTACAAGTCGAAAATTGCTCCCAGAATAATCTAAACCAATCTGTAATATATAAACTAGATTTTAATTATCAAAATAAGCTTTACCAAGACTATCTAACCTAAGAGCCAAACCCATTAAAATATGAAGAATTAATCTTATTGCCAAGGTGACAATTAAACCTGAAGAGAGGAATATAAAAATTATAAGCTCTCTCAAAAGCTTGAGTTTCAGTTACTGTTGTTAGCATGACTTCATATCAATCCTGCTGCTTTTGAGGGAAAACAGACAAATTCCAGCTGAAAAAAAACCCCAACCCCATAACTGCATAACCATAGTTGAAATAGCAGAAAATACAGACTTTCCATCTTGACCCTTTAGTTACCTTAGCTACTGCAGATTGACCAATCTTCCAAATAATCAGCCTCTCCTTATGAACTAGCCAGGCCCATCCACTTTCATCCACTTGAACGCTCAGGTGGTCATCAGCTACATACAAAAGTAACTTCTTTAAAGCATTCCCATTTTTAAAACACTGCAGAGTAACGTTTAAACCCATAAACTTTCATTCTTATATGAAAATAAGAAATATTTTCTATTAAACTAGTTTTCATGTTTGAATTTCCATCTATTTGATTAACATATCAAATTACTACATCTAGTTTAAAAATCCACTTGATAAACCCTCAACCTTTGAGAATGAAACGACAACCCCAAAACCCATTTCCATGTATTTAGAGATTATAATAGCTTTGTAAATCACTCAACAATTTTAACATTATTTTTAAGATAATTGGTTCCTCCTGTATCTACTATAAAGGAAAAACTTATCTACAGAGAAAAAATTGTTTAGGAGACCAACTTCTTGAACTCAGGGAAAGGTTTGTATCACAAGGGCTTTTGGAAGAGATAACAAATGGAAACTGAAATAAAGAAAAATATTAAGCATCCACTCTAGGACACAGCAAAATCAAAAGAAGTAAAAAAGGTAAGGAAGAACCAAGAAGTAAAAGCTACTGAAAACCTACTATTAGCTTGCCTTATACACTTGTTTTTTTACAACAAATTGCATAAGCAGCACCTGAAGGGTGTTTTCATGCATTCACACCCCCATGGGCATTATTATTGTTACACAGGTAACCACGCTGGATTCAAAGCAAGGCAGAGACATTTTAGCTTCCCCTGTAAAGTCAGCATTTCAATGGCATCAACGACACGTTAAGAATTCTCTCATCTGTCAATTTTCATGAGGAAAAATAACATCAATTCTTACCATCAGCCTTCTTCAGCACTTCCATAACCTTAACAGGCAGAGAGGATCCAAAAGCCTTGACATCATAGTTAATAGTCTCAGTTGCTGTAGGAAGCTGGATAACTCTGGTAGGAGTCGCTCTTAAACAAAACAAAAAGTTACATTTAACTTTTTATTGCTTATTCATCAGTTTCTTTAGACATTTACTTCATAAGTATCTATTTAGAAACAGATTTATGTAACACAAACATGCTTTCTCTGGGAACATCACCTAGAGCAATAACTTGGTGGCTTCCTTACAAGTTGCTAGCTGTCATCAAATTCTTTATTTTCAAAGAGCTGACTTTGAATATGCATTACTCCACCAGCAACAAACTCACTGTTCAGCTTCTCTGCACTCTAGTTATCTACAGAATAAAGACCTTCACAACGTCAGAAGCTCAGAACAAAACAAAAAGTTACATTTAACTTTTTATTGCTTATTCATCAGTTTCTTTAGACATTTACTTCATAAGTATCTATTTAGAAACAGATTTATGTAACACAAACATGCTTTCTCTGGGAACATCACCTAGAGCAATAACTTGGTGGCTTCCTTACAAGTTGCTAGCTGTCATCAAATTCTTTATTTTCAAAGAGCTGACTTTGAATATGCATTACTCCACCAGCAACAAACTCACTGTTCAGCTTCTCTGCACTCTAGTTATCTACAGAATAAAGACCTTCACAATGTCAGAAGCTCTCCCTTGACTGCAGGGACGACCTCCCTTCCCAGCTCTGGCACTGCGGGGCAGCACACACTGTGCAGCACTTTAAACACCAAGGCAGCTCGGATCCAACAGCACTTCTGCCACCCGTAGCATGCTGGGGAGGCTGCACTTCTTACCACTCATAAAAAGCTGCTTTGCATCAACAGCACAGGTCTGAGTTGTCTTCTGGACACAATGATGTGGGCAAACTTCTCTGCTTTTACAAGTTAATGCCCTGTTTTAATTTCTCCTCACAAGAGAAATGATGTCTCAGACCTCCCTGTGTGAAATGGCAAGAATCAATTCACAGCTACTGGACAATCCTTGCACCCACTTAGCAAAAATTATTACGCAGACTTGAAGTAAAAGTTTCCCAAAACTGAACATGGGCAATCCTCTTTATCTCAACTACACAACAAATGGCTGCTCCCAAGGAAACAGATGAGGAAGCCTGAAGCTGATCTGGGGCTCGTGCCTATCTCGGTTTCGATCCCTATGGAAGAGAGAAAACAGCACCAGCTGGGGAAGAGGGCCAAGTGTGACATGCCTGAACTTGGACTACTTTATCTGATCCAACAGCACTTCTGCCACCCGTAGCATGCTGGGGAGGCTGCACTTCTTACCACTCATAAAAAGCTGCTTTGCATCAACAGCACAGGTCTGAGTTGTCTTCTGGACACAATGATGTGGGCAAACTTCTCTGCTTTTACAAGTTAATGCCCTGTTTTAATTTCTCCTCACAAGAGAAATGATGTCTCAGACCTCCCTGTGTGAAATGGCAAGAATCAATTCACAGCTACTGGACAATCCTTGCACCCACTTAGCAAAAATTATTACACAGACTTGAAGTAAAAGTTTCCCAAAACTGAACATGGGCAATCCTCTTTATCTCAACTACAGAACAAATGGCTGCTCCCAAGGAAACAGATGATGAAGCCTGAACCTGGGGCTCGTGCCTATCTCGGTTTCGATCCCTATGGAAGAGAGAAAACAGCACCAGCTGGGGAAGAGGGCCAAGTGTGACATGCCTGAACTTGGACTACTTTATCTTCTTTTTAAATACGCAAGTTCTTATAATTTTCATATATCATACTTGAATCACACAGAACATACTTGAGGAGCCCTCGAATTCAAAACCTAGTAAGAGGCATTCATAACGCTGAGCACCGTACATGTACGGCTCTAATGTGCGGTACTGCCACGCACCCCACACCGGCTGGAGCAGCTACGAGCGAGGCCGGCTCTGCGCCGAGGGGCGGCACTCACCGCGCCGACAGGGAGCCGCTCCTCCGCGCCGCCGGCGAGAACAGCACCGGCGAGGCGCCTGCCGCCACCACGGGCAGGCCCTTCTTGCCGCCCGGCCGGGAGAGCGGGCTGGGCGCGGCGCTGCCCAGGGTCCTGCGGGCCGACCCCGGGGTCCGCGGGGAGGCGGGAGTCGACGGGAACATGGCCGTGCGTGCGGGAGCGGCACCGCGCTCCCGCCCGGCGCGCGCCGAGCGCGTCACCGCGGGGCGGGGCCGCGCGGGAACCGAGCGCGACCGGCAGCAGCCGAACGGAGCCGAGCGCGACCGGGAGGAGCCGAACGCTCCGGGTGGGGGAGAGCCGAGAGGAGCCGAGCGCGGCGCGGCCCCTGCCGGGGAGCGGCGGAAACCCCGCGGCGGCCACTCGAGCAGGGCACCCTACCCGCCCTCAGGGGGTGAATGGCGACCCGGGCCGCCCCTCAGCGCTGCCCGCCCTCAGGGGGTGAATGGCGACCCGGGCCGAGGCGCCTGCCGCCACCACGGGCAGGCCCTTCTTGCCGCCCGGCCGGGAGAGCGGGCTGGGCGCGGCGCTGCCCAGGGTCCTGCGGGCCGACCCCGGGGTCCGCGGGGAGGCGGGAGTCGACGGGAACATGGCCGTGCGTGCGGGAGCGGCACCGCGCTCCCGCCCGGCGCGCGCCGAGCGCGTCACCGCGGGGCGGGGCCGCGCGGGAACCGAGCGCGACCGGCAGCAGCCGAACGGAGCCGAGCGCGACCGGGAGGAGCCGAACGCTCCGGGTGGGGGAGAGCCGAGAGGAGCCGAGCGCGGCGCGGCCCCTGCCGGGGAGCGGCGGAAACCCCGCGGCGGCCACTCGAGCAGGGCACCCTACCCGCCCTCAGGGGGTGAATGGCGACCCGGGCCGCCCCTCAGCGCTGCCCGCCCTCAGGGGGTGAATGGCGACCCGGGCCGCCCCTCGGCGCTGCCCGCCCTCAGGGGGCGAATGGCGGCCCGGGCCGTCCTTCGGCGCTGCCCGCCCTCAGAGGGCGAATGGCGACCCGGGCCGCCCCTCGGCGCTGCCCGCCCTCAGAGGGTGAATGGCGGCCCGGGCCGTCCCTCGGCGCTGCCCGCCCTCAGAGGGTGAATGGCGACCCGGGCCGCCCCTCGGCGCCAAGCTGAAACACGGTCCTCTCGCTCAGATGTTCCCGAAGCTATGCTCTGTCCTTCGGGGTGTTCCCAGGAGGATTCACAAGGGTGGGTTTGGGTACCATTCCTCATGTGATTAGCTGGCGCTAACCAGCTGGATGTGATCAAAAAACAGCTGTTCAACGACCATTTGGAAGAAGGCATTTTTCAGTAGGAATTGCCTTATGTTTAAAATAGCCTGTGCATACCTGTGTTTGTACCCAAATCTCTAATTAATTAAATAAATAAATGCACAAAACCATATTCTGTGCAGACCTTGGCACATTTCAAATCTATGGTAAACAACAACCATGAAGTACAGCTATTCTATGGTATAAAAATAGATTTTAGCCTTCAACGGGAACTAATGCTCAATGGCATCAGTTGGCATGAAAAAGCTACTTTCAGAAGGTAAGTATGTACCACCCTTTTGGGGAAGAAGTTGAGCTGGATGCACATTATCAACAAAGCAAATCAGTTAAGATAAAATGAACTAAAAATAGGTTTTAAAAAAATCACATAACTTTTCAAAATGTGTTCTTTGGTAACAGATTCAGGGTCATTAGGCTTTCTATGTGGGCTGTGGTCCCCTATGACCGAACCCAAAAACATCAACCCAAAAACTCAAAAGATGAGATAAATTTGAGATGGTTCATCTGGCAGGACTGAAGTGTGAGGCAGTATGTCAGTGTCAGTGCTTTGTCTTTTTCATTCAAATAAGCTCCTTTGGCTTTGATTTTATGCAAAAAGCAAAATACTAACATTTAGTGGAGCATCACTATATTGTTACATTAATATAGTATCCTTCTATATGATGCTAAATCATCAGGTTACTGTCACTTCATCAAGAAAAACAAACTAAACCAAACCAGGAAATGCACACACAAACAAACAAATACAGAAAAATCTGGAAGAAAATTCAAGATGACATCCACATTTCCCAACATTCAAGACTGGTGACATTCAAATTATTTGAAAAACCGAAAGCTCCTCTTCACAGCTCGGTCCTAGAATATTTTAAACGATGCAGCATGAACAGTTGTGTTTAGCTGATTGAACCCTATCTATACTTCCTCAGGGAATTAGTCAGCTTCCTTTAGCTGTGCCAGCCCTGTAAGAGCTCCATCTTCAGGAGAGAGATACAATTCAACATTCAAATCTCATTTTCTATAGAAATAATTTGTACTGATGCCAGCTAGAGACTAAACCAGTTCTCGACTTTCCCATAAATATAAAGGAGTTTTTTGAGTGGTTCTAACTCGAATAAAGTCTGCTAACCAATGTACCTGTTATGACAAACCTTTGCCTTTCAGTGGACTAGAGCTTCGTGTGGCTTTCCACACTCCTCTGTCAGCTGCAATACCTGCCAGGACAACTAGTGAACAAAAGACATGGAACACTCATTCAGTTCAGCTGCAAATAATTCCTGTAGCCCGTGTAAATACAGGGATAAAGGGGCTCGTCGGATCTCACATAAGGAGAAATTACAAGAGTGAGGATTAAAGATGCAAACCCCTCTAAATACATTAACTAATAGTCAACATTGAAATTAAACATTGGGTCGGGACTATTTTTTGCATATCTTTAGCACAACATATGCTCCTATGAAAATTTTATCTGAAGTAATTTTATTTTTATTCTCTAATATTTTCACTATATTCTACAAGGTGCCATTAATGGCACTAACATTTTAAGTTTGCCCAGCACTAGGTTGTTTCAGCTGTTGCTAATAAGGTCTTCCAGCAACAAATTTTCCTAGCATGGATGAGTGTTAATGCAACCTGGGAAGTTTCTAGCTTTGTAAAATCTCCTTGTGGGTTTTGCATCTCCAGAGATTCTATGGAAAGAGACTCTTCAATCAGAAACATGAGGCAAACTCTTCACAGCCAAACGTATCCCCCTGCAGTTATTCAAATTAACGTAATGCTGCTATTTGACTAGTTGTCTTTGAGACGGTTGTTTACTAGTTGTTTCTAATAAAGTAATTAGGCAAAACTCATTATTTCTATCACTGTAATTTTAATTAACAACACAAAACTTACATATGCTGTTAAAAAGGACAAAAACATATATGGGAGGGCATGTTCTTTCAGATGTTGTCTTAGAAAGAAAGTGAAACTAGAGAAATGGGAAAACAGAAAAGGGAAGAAAATGCAAATTTTAGATTTTCCTATGTGACTCCTTATAGTAAGACACTTCCTTTGTCCTTTTGTAAAGTCAGTTTTTTTGTTTGGTTGCCTTTTTTGCATTGGGTTGTTTGCTTTATTAAAGAACTTTCCCCCAGCTTGTGCTTTCATACTCTCTAAAATGTCTTTTAATATGTAATTCTCTACAGGAACTGTAGATGGAGATCATAGTCAAGTTCAGAGCACAATCACATTTCAGAACAAACAGTAACTGGACGGACAGTGCAGGGGAAGTCAGACAGAACTTTCAGAGTGTGTTAGTATCATGCATTTTTGAATTCCAGCATTTTAAGACTAATGATAAGCACAAAACATGAAAGTTCCTTGGAGAGAAACAATGACATGAAAATGATAAGACTGTAATTTAATTACCTTTAAAATACTGAACTTACTTGAGAATGGAGCACATCTTCATACAGTGCATCATAGCAAACAAGATTCTAGACAGTTTCAAAGTAACACAAGCAGAAAAATCTATGCCCTGAAATTATCTCAGTGTGACAGGTATTTTTAAAAGTTACAATAGTTACTAAAAAGCGTTCAATAAAAAGTTTAACACATTTAAAAGAATATTTTGTACATTTTGGAAAAATATAACATTTACATAACTGAAACATAAGTTATAGTCTTTGAAGTTTGTAATTATTCATACATTGTCTCATACATTTTCTTTTAATATATCCTTTTCTCTGGATTGTAAATCTAATGCAAAAGCATCATTATTCTGAAGAAAAGCTTGTTTCTGCATTAGTTTCCTGAAAAGTCCATTTGGATTTGCAAGTAGCTCCTCATGTTTCCCACATTCAAGAATTTTACCCTGGCCAAGGACTGCAACGAAATCAGCGTTTTGAATAGTAGACAGACGATGAGCAATAATTAGGACTGTCCTCCCTTCCATCAGCCGGTCCAGAGCTTCTTGCACGAGATACTCATTCTCAGCATCCAAAGCACTAGTAACAAATGGGTGGGGATGGGAGAGAGGAGGATACTTGTTATCGTAAGGCAGGTTGGTTTTGTATGCATGTGGCTTCTTTTGCCAAAACTGCAAACCCTCTCTATTTGTGGTGAAGATGAACCACTGAAACTGCAGAGAAGTTTAATGAGCATGCTCAGTTCTCATTTCCAAGTTATAGGCATGACATATTCTGATATGCAAAAATAAGTATTGAGAAATAACACCAAATTAAGTCAGTGGAAAAAATCAGTTACATTGCACAATAATCCTATTTCTTTTACACGAGGATCTAAGTTTAAACTAAAGATCCAAAAAAGCCTTAAGTAGATGTTTCAAAATCATGTTACATGTTACGAATGTAGCGCCATGAAAAATCACAATGTACCAGGCATCCTTTCTGCTTTGTATAAACATCTTTTATTATAGGTTTCCTAAACAAGTCACACATTCTAAGAAGGCACATTTTTTGTGACCAGAGAGCAATAAGGGGCAAGATAACATATAATGACAGAAAAGAAAGAGAAAAAGAAGAAGAGAAGAGAAGAGAAGAGAAGAGAAGAGAAGAGAAGAGAAGAGAAGAGAAAGAAAAAGAAGGAAAGAAGAGGAAACAGTTCCCAAATCTAAGTTTTACAGGTACATATTTTCTAAGTTTCTATTTGTTTTTCTTCTTACCTTGTTGCTTCATCTAACAGAAGAATTTTAGGATTCTGAAAAATAAAGTAAAATTGGTTACAATAACAATTAAACAAGATCTGAATATTTATGTCAATAGAGAATAGGATTTATATAGCTCAAAATCCAAGTAAGAATAGGGCGGCAGCGGCCGCTCCTCCCGCCCGGCGCGGCTCCGCCCCGCAGCGCCCGGCCGGAGCTCCGCGATGCGGCGGAGCCGCCCCCTCCGCGCCCAGCGCCCCGCAATCCGCTGTGCCCGTGGCGGCCGGGGGGAGAGCACCCAGCCCTGGGGACGGGGAGGGCTCACCGGAGACATGGCTGTGGCTCCCGCCGCTGCCCCCGCGGAGCGCGGTCCGTGCGCGGCCGGCAGCGCATCCCGCGGCACGCACGGAGGGAGGGAGGGATGCGGGCACGGAGGGAGGGAGGGATGCGGGCAGGGAGGGAGGTGCCCGAGGGCCCGGCCCCGCCGCAGCCGCCCCGCGGGGCTGGGAGGGAGCGGGCGGTGCCCGGCTGCGGTGGGAGAAGCCCCCGGGAGCGGGGGATGCGCTCGGGGAAAGGCGGAGATGGAGCCGTGGGGGATCCGCGGGGGAAAGGCTCGGTACGGCAGGGAACGGGCGCGCAGCGGTGATAATAAATGGCACAGTCCCCGGCCGGGATGGAGGGAAGCGATGGAGGGATGGGGCTCGGCTGCTCAACGCGCTGTGAATCCCTGCCCTGCCGAGCACCGGGCGTGGTGGAAGCGCCCCAGGAAAGGAGCAGGATCTCACCTGGGCTGTTTGATTGTGCAAATGTGACACCAGCAGACTGACGCTGTCTTTTTGTTCCTACACATAAACATAAAGGAGCAGGTCGGAGCACATCAAAGGCTGAACAAGTTCGTTCGTTTTGCAGAGTGAGTTTTAAGAGATGATGGTTTTGTTTGGACTCATACTCGTTCTGCTCAGGGTGTGACGGCATTGCGTGTAAGGTCTGTCCTGGCCAGAGAAATTCAGCATGAAGAGGTTTTTATGGGCAATAGTGAGCTGAGATAGGGAGATCTTCCTCTGCTTTCTTGGAAAGAGAAGAGAAGAGAAGAGAAGAGAAGAGAAGAGAAGAGAAGAGAAGAGAAGAGAAGAGAAGAGAAGAGAAGAGAAGAGAAGAGAAGAGAGAAAAAGAAGGAAAGAAGAGGGAACAGTTCCCAAATCTAAGTTTTACAGGTACATATTTTCTAAGTTTCTATTTGTTTTTCTTCTTACCTTGTTGCTTCATCTAACAGAAGAATTTTAGGATTCTGAAAAATAAAGTAAAATTGGTTACAATAACAATTAAACAAGATCTGAATATTTATGTCAATAGAGAATAGGATTTATATAGCTCAAAATCCAAGTAAGAATACCTACTTCATCAAAAGTGTCATTCAAAGCATTACTTTTAGGAAATCTAAATGCTAAGAGGACAAAACAGAAACAAGACTCCTGCATTTTCAAATTTTCCAAACTAAAATAGCAGAATACTATTCCTGGATAACCATTTGAAAGATACAAACTAAAGGGGGGAGATGATTTTTAAGGCATTCTTGACAGCACTGTGGTCCAGAGTTCTACATTCTTATGTGGCTCTTTCACAGAGGCTCAGCTACCCTCTGCTTGCAGTCAGTCTGCTATATAAAACTGGTTTAGTAACTGAAAGTAACAAAGCCCTACCAGCAAGCAGTATTTCACTCACAGGTAAGACACAGTACTTAAGAACTAGCATTTAACAACTTCTCACAGTTAGATTATAAAAAAAAAAATAAAATTGCTAGCACTCAAATACCTTAGAAGAATTCACAACTGAATTACAGAAAATAACCAAACTTCCATGATAAAGGTGAGAGTAAAAGCTTTAATTTTTATCTGGGACAGACAGGGCTCCACTGCACCCTCAGATATTCCAGTATATCAACTACTAATTTATTTTTTACAACCTTTTTACTCCACGAAATTAAGTCTTTAATCCCATGAACCGTATAAAATGCATGGCTTGAAATACAATCAGCTTTTCAGCATTTGTGGTAAAAGAGAACAGGTATAATGAAATTCCTATTAATCTAGCAGAACTGGGCATGCCAGTGTGGCTTAACATGAATGTAAACTGTGTCCAGCAAGGATCAAAACTTCCAGCTGAGCATCAGCACCAAACTGCCTCCTTGCAAGGCCCTGTGGCTGTCCCTGAACCAAATTCTCTGTTGTTCTGATCCTCAGAAGCCCCCTCAAATTTGTGCAGCACAGAGCCTGCCCCGAAGCAAGACCCACACCAATCTTCAAAGAAAAACATGACACTACATTGTGCCTGAAATATCACCTTGTTCCAAATCCAGGCCACCTCCCCTCAAAGCTAAGACAAGGCATCTGAAGTCCTAGTAAACTGCAACCCAGAAAAATTAACCTATGAATGACAGAGATCTGAACAGAGATATGTCATATATGTGTTTAATAGCACCACATTCTTAAAGTCTTCCTTCATTCTTATGGAAATGGGCCATTTTACAATGATTTTACATCAGTCTTGGCAAGAACTATCAAAAAACATGGCTAAAATATAGCGAGAAGCACTGACATTAAGTTGTCATTACTTAAGTCACTCAGCCCTTTCAAACTTCATTAACATAAAAGATACAGTTTTCCCTTTTTAAAGTATTTTCCTACCTCTCCCACTGAAATACCTTCTCCTTGTTAATCCTTCCTGCCTCCTCCCAAGAAGTAGTTAAATAGTTTGGGTGCTGGCTTACCTTGAGCAGAGCTCGAGCAATTGCAATTCGTTGCTTCTGTCCACCTGGGGAAAAATATTCAGTAAATTGAAATAGGAAAACAGGTGTCAGGTAATTCTAACTGAATGCCTGGCTGAGCAGAATTAGGTCCATGTACTTTAGTGGGGAATGGAGGTGAGGGGTGGATTCTCTTAATACTTATGGCAGGCTACAGCTTGGAGAAAAAATGGCAACAAAAAATGATGGAATTTTTATGTCACTCAATGGCATCAAGATTTTTAAAATAACCAACATAAAGACGTACCTGAAAGCAAAATTCCTTTTTCTCCAACTACAGTGTCAAACCCTTTTGGAAAATCTCTGATAAAACTAGCAGCATTAGCTATTTCAGCAACTTTCTGAATCTCCTCTGTTGTCACAGTAGAAGGATCCTCTGCACCATAGGCAATATTTTCAGCAATTGAACAGGAGAAGAGAATTGGTTCCTGACAAATGCAAACACATAACTAATATGGTAGATCTGTAATTGTGTGCATGTGTTATCTAGTATGTCAGATAACATAAATCCCACTTACAAGACCCCACTTACAATATATATATAAATAATATGCAAGCTAGAGTTAATTGAATAAAAGACTAATAAAAAACCTCCTCCCCTAACACCACAATGGACAGTGAAAACCAATTAAAAATTAAGTTGCTTTTTTAACTGAAAAAACATAACCCTCAATTCCTAATATTTTAGAAAGAGTTTAGGAAGAGTTATACATTCAAACATCAAAAGCCCTTCCTTTGTACTTTGCCACATATCATCATAATGGAAGGGATGGAGCACCTGTCCTGTGAGGGAAGGCTGAGAGAGATGGGGCTGTTCGGAGAAAAAAGGCTCCAGAGGGACCTGACGGTGGTGTTTCAGGACTTAAAGGGGGACTCTAAGAAAGATGAAAACAGACTTTTTAGCAGGGCCTGTTGTCGTAGGACAAGAGGTGATGGTTTTAAACTAAAGGAGGGTCGGTTTATATTAGATATAAGGAAGCCTTTTTTACAATGCAGGTGATGAAACACTGGAAGAGGTTTCCCAGAGAGGTGGTGGGTGCCCCATCCTTGGAAACATTCTAAGTCAGGCTCATTCAAGGATGGGGCTCTGAGCAACCACATCTAGTTGAAGATGTCCCTCCTCAATGCAGGGGGATTGGATTATATGACATTTAAAGGTCTCTTCCAACCCAAACTATTCTATGATTTGCAACAATGATGATTCTTTTCTTAATGTCAACACAGATTTTATGGCATTATGTGCATTTAATTTGTATTCAAGCTTGCAACAGAGAACTGTGAGGTAGGACAAGTGATGTACAATGGGAAAATGTCTGAAACAAGGTAAGTGAGCTCTGTTTAAAAAGTAGTCATGCTCTTTGAACACCAGTATTGACCTCCTACTGGTAATTTAAATTGAATAGATTATTTCAAAAAGAAAAATGCTAATGTGCCAACAAGAAAGTAATTTTTGCGCAAAAGCTTTTGGTGGCATTATTACATAAAGAAGTTGCTTTGAAATGCAACAAATACTCAGTTACTCTTATGCTTTTAACCACAACATCAGCCTAACAGTTAATTGCACTGTGAACTATCTGGGGAGATGAGAGAATGAACATGTTAATTGATGAAATAGCTTATTTTTAAGACAGCATTGACTTCCAGAGTCTGGAGGTTGCTAGGAAGGTGGCACTATAACAGAAAGTAAGTGCTAACTGTGCTGTATTTTCATGCTTTCCTAATGGAGATTATGGTTTCCTGGAAACTATTCAGAGCACAGAAGGTCAGTTTTTTAAATGGCTGTGTAAAATAAGATTGTGTGACTTTTATCAATACAAAAGTGTTAAGATTTTTGCTACTTTCTTCAACAAATTATAGTAAGCATTAGGTTAGTTATACCTACACAATTTACCTTCCAGTCTCCACTGCACACTTTTCTTCTAAACTAACATTTTGGATCTCTGTGGTTATGTAAAAACAGACTATAGAATACTGGATCTAGCTCTAAATACTTATTTTTAGAACAAAGCATGTGCAACAGCAGTTATGGTGAGATGGAGGGCTTTCACTGAGAAGCAAGATTATGTCTTTTCAAAAGGAAGGAAAGTGAGGAAAAGCTATTTGATCACAAATTTATTTCATCCACTTGGATTTTTTTTCTTCCTTACCTGACTTACTGTTCCAATCTTTGTCCTGAACCACAGTGGATTTAACTGACGGATATCGAAGCCATCAACGGTGATAGTACCTTAAGTTAGGAAACAGTGAAGCCAAGTGTGTTTGACACGTACTAAAAAGAGTCTGAAGGAACAGCTGAGAACGACAACCCCTGGGGAATCACACACTGTACTGGTGGATCAGAAATGCAAAGCTATGCAGGCACCACCACAAGGTAACCATACATCCCAAAAGGAGACACGCACCTCAAGCACACGAACCCCAGCTGTGTATAAGGTTTATCTGAGATGCAAAGCATTAATTGTTGCAAATGAGAGCAACACACAAACCATACCTGAGATAGGATCATACAGCCGCAGCAGAAGGGATACAATCGTTGATTTCCCTGTTCCACTTGGGCCAACGAGAGCCATAACAGAGCCCGCTGGAATGGACAGGCTGAAATCTTTGAAAATTGATACTTCTGGACGTGTTGGATAGGCAAATTCAACATCTTTGAATTCCAAAGCACCTCTGAATACATCTTTGCCTAATGTGATTCCCTCTATATAACAAAGAATAAAATACAGAAATGTGAACAGAAACAAAAATTAGCTCAGCCCTCCTAGAACTTGCTTTACAGACACTCAATAGAAGCATCTATCTCCACGTTCAATCTATGGATAACTGCAAGCCACAATTCAGAACCACAGTGGTTATATTTCAGCCATGAGTGAATCAGTGTGGTATACCAATCATTCCTGAATGCAGTTTCAGGGTTGTTCACCAGCACAGAACCTATAGGCTACCTACAGCAAGAGGGAGAATCTGCATCTTGCTAATACCTAAACACTAACAACAATCACTTCTCATAGAATTATCTGAATTAGTGAACATACTACAAACAATTAAAGCTTTGTCAATCAGGAGCAATTAAATAAAAAGGCATTGGTGAAGGCCAAAGTCCGGTTGCCACAGAACACAAAAAGATAAACATTGCAAATCATTTATTGCCCTTTCACCAAGCCACAAAAGTCACCTGAAGCACCCTCCTCTGAACAAGAGCAGTTCCTGTCACTGGAATAAAGCTGCTGCTAGGTTTGTTGCACTAACAGACAATTTTTAGTTTTATTTTCTCCTTTCAGTGGAAAGCATATTTAATAAATTCAAATACCAATTCAGAGGCCTAGCTCTTGGGCAACAGTTCACTGAAAGGAAAATTTCTCTTTGTGAAATTTTCCATCAATGAAACCACCATGAATTAACAACTACCAAAGTTAAATAAAACCAGCTTCTTTCTGGAAGACAGCATTTGACTTAAACAAGTATCTTAATATCATTACTAGAAAAAGTTGATAAACAGTTAAAACAAAGACACAAAATTTCTTCAAACCCTGTTTAAACCCAGTGACATATATCCATAAAAAGCAAATTTATTGGGCAGTGGGGCTGCATTTCCAAAAGATGAAGTTCCCACCAACTTTGTGAAAACCGGCAGTACTAGAGCAATACCCTAGTCATGATTGTTTGTGCTGGAGAAACACAGCTCAAACTCTTAATTCTTTTCAGATGCAGCACACAAGTAACTCCCAACCAGCCACGGAATAGGGTAGCACATGCCAATGTTTGGTTAAACAGTAACTGTGGATAGGAAACAAAGACACCCATCAGTAACAATCAAGATTTCAGTAGTTCTGCTCTTTTTTTTCCAGGTTTCCATTTCTTATCCAGGTTTTCAGTTTAATGATAGTTGCATTGGAATGGAAAAGGCAAAAGCATACAATTCCAGATTGCTTCCTTGACTTTAACTGATGGACACACACACTGTAATGTTTCCATAATAGCCTGTAAACCTCCTTTTCAGAAAAGAAATGTGTTTGCTAAATCTTGTGTTAGCAGCATAATCCTTATTACCCCGGTAGCAAGTAATCACTTAAGTCTCAGCTGCAATTACTGCACATTCTATCCATGGCCTGAAACACTAAATCTACTGCAATACAGGAAGTCTGCTACCACAAGTCCTTCCTCCATATATCACTGTAAAAATATCTAAAAGTTATGTACTTGTCTTTTGTTTGGATTCTAGACACAAGAAAAAAGACATTATCATTTGTTCCCAAGATATCTGCTGTCATCAGCAACAACCAGAGTTCTGCAAAAATAAAATCTTGCCCCCTCAAATACAGAAGAAATGTGGGTAGTATTACTGCAAGGAGAAAGGTGCAAATCACTCCAAAAGCAACACCTGCTGTAGCTGCACATCCATACTATTCCAAGGAGCAGAAGTCCCCCTATCAGCCCTAGCCTTTACTTCCTTTTATTCCCCAGTCATGTTTCAGTCCCTGATTCCTATGTCAAAACAATCCAAAAACTCAGTTTAGTATGTGTTGCTGAAAGGCCTCAAACTGTGTGTTTGCAAGTAAAGATTCATATCAACATGTCGTAGGGGCTGATTTTCACTGGATCAGTATGAAATGTTTAAGCTTGCAATACACTTAATGAAAACCACCTGGTTTTGAAAGTTTCTCTGATCATTTCTTAGCCATTAGAGACGAGCACGGTAAACCATTCATTGGAAATATGAGACACAGCCATCTCAAAGAGCTCCTCCTTCCTCTCCTTTTTTTCTTTCCACTCTTTTCCCTCTAAAGCAGGAAGTAGTGCTGACATCAACAAGCAATTCCACAAAGCTAGAAATGACCATGTTCTCAGTCACATAAATTAGAAAGTAACATGATTTAAAATCATATTCTGAATTAAATAAATAAAAATAATTAAAACAAAAGTAATTAATTAAGCTAAACTTTTGGCTTCTAAAATTTTTCATTAAAGGAATTTTTCATCATTTGTTTCATACTTAGGTAAAGTCAGAATGATTATGACTATATTTAGTTTCTTTGAAAATGATGTAAGTCAGTACTACGTTTAAGTGTTACACACATCCTTCTGAGGTATTGCTGTCATCTGTTTCATACTTAGGTAAAGTCAGAATGATTATGACTATATTTAGTTTCTTTCTTTACGTTTAAGTGTTACACACATCCTTCTAAGGTATTGCTTACCCATAAGACAAAATCAACCTTTAAACAGTAACAAACCAAGAACCTACCATTAAATGGAAGTTGGGGCTTCCTTTCAATAAGTTCCCAAAGACGTCCACCAGCACCTAGTCCTTTCATTAGCTCAGAATAAAAGGAACTTAGACCTGAATAAAAAGCAGAACAGTATTATGCATCCATATGCAATGGAAGACATAGAAGAGATAAAATTAGTGTTACACTTTGCAGCAGCAGCATTGAAGGATCAGATGTGTAGAGGATTTTTATTCCAACAAACTGTTAAACATGTTAAATCCTATCTAGTCTATCTAGTCCCATTTGAGAGCTTCCAATAACCCTTATTCACCATTCTTATTTATATCTGTAAAACAAATCACTCTGAAGAAAAGAAAATGTTAATACACTTCAGCTTATGTATGTCCTTTATCATTCACTTGTCAGAAAGAACAGCATCCAGCTTTAGGAAAATGGCTTTGCATTCAACCAGTTATATTCCCAGAACATTCAGCAGAACAGAGCATTCTGAATGCTCTTCTTTGTCAGACAAGTTTACAGGAATACAGGAGAGCCTGGCTGAGTCAGTCACAGCAGAGAGAGGGCACAAAACCTAAGGCTGAAGTGATGATTGAGAAGGTGTGTGGAGAGTGGAGAAGTGGAAAGCAATGTGCCTCCCATGCCAGAAAACTTCAAACAGTACTGGAGAAAGCAAAAGCTAAGGACAAGGCCTGCACATAGTACTGGGTCCCAGCTCTTAGCACATGTGTGAATCATCTTGAAAGTAGCTTGGCTGAAGGGCTTTCCAGCTGACATAAACACAGAAACCAACATATAGCTAAAAATGGAGTAGTACATAGATATAAGATGTCCAATTTCTTAAATTTGTGTGTGCCTTTAAAAAGAAAGACACCGATTTCATGATCTTTGAATTCCTGTAAAACGCTTAAAAGTTATTTCAGGAGGGCAGAAAAACAAAGATGGATTTTAAAATATGTATATCTAAATATATATATATAATGGATTTACTGGTTTATTTTTGAAGAGCAAGAAGCTCAGCTCAAGGTCACAAGTTTGTAAGTGTAGGCAGGGTGTTTCATCATGCTGCTGCTAAGGACTATCTGAAAGTTTGCAACACTGGCCATGGTGAGAAGCTGTCTACTTGGAAAAAAGAGCCAAAGAATCACATCCTAGAGCAGGACATGGCAGGGGAAGGCATAAGCCTCACAGAGCAACTTCAAACTCAAACACTGAGGTTTGCAAATCCACAACTACTCATAAGCAAAACATTATATAATATGGACAGCAAATACAAATTAGAAAACACTTATATTTTTCATAACCCATGTACTGTGTTTGGAAGAAAACACAGCAAACTTACAACAAAGAGGGGCAAAGTCACAGATTATGCAGTGAACTTCACAGTTGTTGCATTGACTTCCACATGTACTGATGACATATACAGAGCAGACTTAGCACTTGGAAGATTTATATGCCTTGTAGGCATCTAGGAAAGCAGGCCTCTTGTGGCAAGACACCTCTGCTTCAGAGTCCCCATGAGAATGAGCTCTGTGCAGAACTACACTCCACAATAATCTGACCCAGAATTTAAAAATACGTTTTTATAGCAAATGAAAGTTAATTTAATGATATTTTTAGCAGTGCTTCTAATCATCATTTATTTAACATCAGCTTGTCCCATGTTTTCAAAGTGCCAGGTATTTCTCCATTGACCAAACTTCATTGATTTAAGCAGAGAAGAAAGGGGGCTGATAGTTGGAATGGGTGCCACTGGAATTCTGATATACAAGGAAGCAGGTTTATTAAATTTTGCCCTCAATCACAAGGGCAAAATTTGTCCTTCCCATGATATCAGGCCTAGTCTTAAAAAAGAAAAAGCTGCATTGCCCTCCTAGTCTAGCAGGCTCATTTTAAAGAAGAATACTTCCAGTAAATTGTAGAGCTTCTGAGCAACTTATCTTCATTCTTGCCTGTATGCAGCCATGAAGACAGCTCTGACAAAAAGATAAACAGCTTGTTGCTGGGTCAGTAGATTACAGACTATGGGCTTCTGGGAGGAGTCAGTGAGTAAGGAAAACCAGAAGGTTAGCACCAAGTGCAGTATTCTGCTGGCACTTTGTTTACTCTTCCAGTTGAGGACACTCTATACTGAATTACAGCTAAATGTTACATGCCTTTCTAAATAAAGTATGCTTAACACAGACCCAAACATTTTATTGCTTTACATAATACAGCAAGTATCTTAATTTAGACCTTAAGAAAAGTAATGTAATATATACTGTCACATGCACACATTGAAAAAAAACTACCTTTCTTTTGGGGAAAAAGAAGGCTTATATTAAGTTACAGATTATTATTTTAGAAATAAAAATTCAGAAAAAAAAATCTTGAGAAGTTAATTTAAAAAAAATATAATTTCTTCAGAAGTTAACTTGGAAGACTTTTTAAGAAAGTCAGATTTTTTAAGAGCTTCTTCCCTCCTACCCCTATGATGACTGTAATGCTTTGAAGTGAAGAAAATCTGATTTCCCATTCCATACCTCCAATGCTTATGCCAACCCAGAAAGCATACATTAGGAAAGATGTGAGTTCACCAACTGTCATGTAGGCACTGCCCATTAGTAATCCACCTTTGTATAACACTGAGAGGACAATTAAGTTTCCAGAAAGGCCAGTCTAAGGAAAAAGGAAAAGGCAGACTTTGTCACATACATCTTAAATTTCATCCTCTAAAATGTTGTTTCAGAACTTTCCTTGTAATGAAAAGAACTCTCACACTATAGGTATCCAGACTTTTGGAGGACTGAGGTAAATTCAACAATTCTAATGTAAAGCCAGCCAACAGCCAGCCAGACATCCATGGCACTGTGCTATCCAACAAGTGTTCAAAAAGCAAGCAACTATTTTTTGGCTTTTTTTTTCCCCACGTGGAAAGGAGCACTAAACATTATTCTCAACCATCATTACCAAGGAAGAATTGATAGTCTTCAGTTATGTTCCAGTTTTAGAATTCAATTAGACAAACAGTTATGGAAAAAGCCAAGCCTCCCTACCTGCGCACTCCCCACCTTTCTAGGATTGATGCTCCTCTCACTGGGGAGCCAAATCTCTAAATGCTAAGGGCAGGGGAAGGTTTCCACTGGTTTAATTCCTTGAATAGAAGGTATGGCCTCAGATAAGCAGTCCCCTGCCTGGGGCATGGTACAGAAATTGAGGCTTAAAGTGATTTTATCGTACTGTTTTATCTTGAGATGCAGTTTCACAGCAATTTAGAGTTATTTAAGTCCAGTCATCCCACAGTTTTATACGTTATATACATTCAATTTATTTTCAATAATTTACTTGCAGATTTTTAAGTATCATCAGGAGTTTTAAAATAATTGACACTTTGCATAACATGGCTGGCTTACTTTCATTAAATATACTTACTGCTCCAAAGAAGCCTGCCCGAGCTAGTGCCTCTTTTTTAGCCAGCTGTAGCACATAATCAACTTTATTTGTGTACTTCTCCATTTCAGCCACTTCTTGCCCAAAAGCTCGAACAGTTCTGATGTTTCCAATACGTTCTTCAGCTAACTGCATTGAAGCAAAGCACAAAACAGATCCACAGAGACACACAATTTGAAATACTCACATTACAGAACATCTGAAAGTTAAATCAATATCACTTCACTAATCTACATATCCTTGGATAGCATTGGAAAATTTCTCATGGCTTCCTCTCCCCACCCCAAACCCCATTTTTTAAAATTCTATTAAGTTAAAAGCAAATTGCATGCCCAGGCAGTTTTAAAAAAACCTCAAGATTGTCTTAAGTGCTAGCAGAGACAGAAAAATATAAAACTAGGGTTAAAAAATTTGGTGTAAACAACACCCATAGGGAAGCTACTATTCACAATATTCAATAACCATGTGGGAAGAGAAAAAAAAAAGAATATTCTTTTCCTTACTAAGTCATGCAAAAAAAGCCTGCAGTTATTTCCTAAAACAATTCCACTCATTTGATCAAAGCAATGCTGGGAATTAATTTAGCCCAACTACTAATGTCTCATTTCGACTCAGTATTTTAACTTCTAAACAGCAAAGTATTAATTCTAAAATACCTCAACTGTAACCAATTACACTAAGTTGTTAATGGACATTGTGATGGTCTTAGAAAAAACAAGTTCCCCTTTTGTAAGTAAAAGTATGATACAAAAAAATAATTCTCCTTTCCTCTTCCATTCAACCTGAAAATTGGAATGGAACACAACAATTACTTGTTCATTTGAAGTCCCACACCTGATTTACAAAGGCACGAGCTTCCCACCAACACAGTCTGAGGAAGACAAAAAGAAGAGGGCTAATCTTCCTTTTACACAGTCCTACAAAGGACATCTCAACTTTATAACAGCTGACAACTGTGACTATTTTAACTACAGCTTTCCTAATTATATTTCTATACTTTATAATTCTATGCTTTTATTTCTATGCTTTTTTCCCATGCTAAGCTTTTGAGGAAAATATTTAGGAAACAGGCCCCATAAACATTTACGAGCTGACAGTAAGGTCAAGCATCAGGGATACATTTCAGAGATGGACTTGCTAGCAGAGGAAGCATTCATCTAGTATGCTCCTGATAGCTTCAAGCTCAAAACCGTAATGCAAGAAAAGTGGTTTCCAAATTCAGGTACCAACTTCCACAGGACTTTATAGGATTGATTTTTTTTTCTTTCTCACAAAGCTAAAACCTAAGCTCCTTGTAATTTCTTACATTTCCAAATTCTCAGGGCCTAGTATCTCTGTGTTATACTGCTATGGACAAAGGAAGCATGGTTGGTTTTGAGATCACTGAATAAGTGTTACTGACATCTACATGTCATACTACTCAGGTGCAAAACTACAGTGTCAGAACTAACAGTACAATTGTCTTCAGAAGATCTGTAACTTTAGCGATATTAACCCAAATACATTAAAGCACCTTTAAAGTTAAGTGGAAACGTTACCTGTGTTGCTTCTGCAAGAGAATCTTGAGTAATTTTAGTAAGCTTTCGCAAGTATCTGCCATAAATCACAGCCAGGACAGCCAAGGGTGGCACAACGCTCAGCACAAATGCAGCAAGGCTAGGGGAAACAAAAAACTAGAAGAAAAAGGTATTGTCAGAGTTTAGCATTCAGATTAAAAATAATCCCTGGAGTACTGAAGTGCAACTTTGCTTGCTACTTTTCTAAAACTAGTAGGGTTTTAGTCCTGCCATGCTTTTATTTATCATGTTTCAATTTTTTTCCAGACAAAATATCCATTCTTCCACAGCATTTGGGAAGTTAGAACAAAGGATTATAAACAAAGCTGTCTGGATTTAATTTCTAGCTTTCTGACTGGATCTCTGTGTGGTCTTAGTCAAGCACCTTAACCTGCCAGTAAGCAGGCCTACCAGGAAATCTCTTGGGGATGCTGAAAGACATAAGCTATTATATAGTTTATAAAGTGCTTTCACAACTATTAAATAGATGGCGTAATACAGAAGCTCTGAGTAGAGAAATATCATACAGTACTTCTGGGTAAGCGAGGAACAAACAGATGGAGTCACCAGTACTCCCTAGCACCCACGAATGGGTGGAACAGGGTATTTAATTTATTGCTACAAAACTTGTAGCTTGTAATGATCACTGCTTGTAATGAACCTAATGAGGTTCTCTTCCTAAGATTTACTGACATTAGATCTAATGTGTTTTAATTTCTGCTTGCTTTCTCTATTGATAACAAAAATCTCCAGAAATACTCAAAATCAACATAATTGATAGGCTTTATAATTATTTAATAATAATATCTTCTTCCCGTCCTTGGCAAGCTTTTATAGTCCTCCTCTTACAACTGTCTCATGGCAGTATTTTGGAGCAAAATGCATTACATAAAACTATCTCATTTTATCTATGGTAAGATAAAGCCATAGAGTCCCTTTGTAAGAGAGCACAGAAAGCCACTGTTATCAGCAATTCTTATCAGTGACAAAATATTAAAGCTTTAAAGTTTCATAGTGGGAACTCTTAACAGTTTCTAATAATGACAGTATTGGATGCTTATTTTATGAGGAGACTATTTGCTGTCTGTTTTTAACTCCAAGTAGACAGCAGAAATTACCACACGAATGCATGAGCATAAAAAATTAAGCCCACAAAAAAAACCCAAAAACCCCAAAAAAAAACAAACCCTCAAGAGAAGTCAGATGTTAATGTAATCCAACTGATCACCAAGGAATATTAACTGATGCCCTGCAATGAAGCCTCCATTATGTAATCTAACTGATCACCAAGGAATATTAACTGATGCCCTGCAATGAAGCCTCCATTAACAAGGTTCCTACATAACCTATTCTTTACTGACAGACTAAAGCAGAAAGACCAATACTTGTAAAAATTCTTGGCATTAATTAGATATGCAGTGCTGCCTTTGCTTAACCAGAATCAACCAACTTAAATGATTTTCTATCAGGCCCTTCACACAGTTTTTTACCTGCAACCATGGGAATGTTATCACCGATTTTAGTATTTTCAGTAAGAATGAAATTCAGCAATTTGCCTACTACATTTCACTTGATAGCTTTGGGTAGAAACAGTAGTTAATGTCAATCCATTATCCTCCAAATTTTGCTTGAGTAAACATCTAGTGGCTGGCTACAGGCACATCACCTACTGCAATAATCTCTGCATCTGTTGTAGATAATCAGTGAAATACACTTGTACCCAAGAGCACACCAGATTGTTACTGGTCTGATTCACACTCACCTAATAGAACTGAAACAAAGGTGAAACTACAAGTAGTGACAAGCAAGTAAGAGACCACCATACCATCATTCCAACCCCCACAGATGCTTGTGCTGCCGCCCTGAGTCCATCTGAAAGGTTTTCAGTCACTGAGCGGCCCAAAAGGGCAGTATCTGAAGATAAGCGGTTTATCAGCTCTCCTGTTCTGGTCTTGTCAAAGAAAGCCGTTTCTTGCTTCACAATAGAGGAGAACATGGTTGCTCTCAAACGTTTCACAATTCTTTGTCCTGTCAAAAACATAAGTCAGTCAGGCATGACACAAGAGACTTTACACAGACACCAACAATATAAAAATCACAGGATTGCACAGTACCGAACAAGGCACATTACAGGGAATAGAGTCTGATACGATGTGTTAGATGAGATCTTTAAGATCTCACCTAAAAGCAAATAAAAATGAGCAATCATTCCAGCACACTTATTTTTACACTATTAGTTTACCTTTGCCCTGGTTAAAAAAAGGTACTGATTCCAAAATCATCTCTTGGCCATGGCCAAGAATTTGTTTAAGATCATTAGATATCCTGACTCTGCAAAAGACAAGATGACTCTCAGTACCACTTTTGCTTCTGATTTTACCTGCAGTCTGCATGAGGTAGACACGTGTAGCATTAGCAGCAGCACCACATAAAAAGATTCCACTCAGCAAGGCACACAGGCTGGTCAGGCTTTCAGTGAAATCCTCACTGGGATTTGTATAAATAATGTCAATAACTTTCCCCATAAAGAAAGGAGCTGACATGGTAATGACACTGGAAACTGCCAGAAAGCCAACAGCAGCTGCAAATCAACAAGAAAAAGGAAAGTTATTCTGAACTTACAAGATCGTTAATAGTACAAATGAAATGATTTGTCACTTGAAACTTCTATTAAGCTTGCAAGTGCCAGTTGAAATAATCAGCAGTCTTTTACATCCAGTGAAAGGGGTATTTTAAGCCACTGTATAAATTAACTTAGGCAAGGCACATTTTAAGACTCTGAAAAGCCTCTGTATACAATCACAGTCCTGGAATCGCTTCTCTTGTCTAGTCTTCAACAGCACCATCCAAAAAGGTTAACTTTTCACGTGTCACCCTTAGAGAACACTGACAGTTACCAAATTCTCACACACAATCCTTCAACTCCTGTTTGGTTTGAGTTCTCATGCTTGTCACTGTATGGAAGCTTCCAGTTGTCTGTTTTTGAGGTAACAATGGACTGAAGTAAAGATCTGATCTGAGAGCTATGCAATCTTATTGGGAAAAAACCCAAACAAAGCAGAAAACAAAATAACCCCCAAATTTGATTTCCTCTTAACTGATAAATTTTAGAATTTTTATTTTAAATTTTATAAACATTCATTTTGTTTTCCTCTTTACTTTTGTTGGTCTAAAAGAAAAATAACATAAGTCTTAATTATAAGTACATTTGCTGATGAGCAGAGCTCTTGAATTCCAGGGGCAGGATCACCCATGGAACAGCCTGTATAGGTTTTTGAAGGGGTATCACAAAGTACGAAAATTACACTGGACCAAAACTTAGCCTGTTGAACTTAAAAACTGCAAAGAAATTTCTTGAGCCAAGAACAAAGTTTAATTCTAAAAAGGCATGCCAAGCTTGGAAGGCTGAGAGCTAGAAAAAAACACATCTTAATTGAAAACTGAACAAACTTGATATAAAAACCAAAACAAACAATGACATTTATCTAGCATCATTTTCCAAGAACCAACCATACATTTACAGCAATCATTCATAGGATTGCTGCAAAACTACTAGCAAATAATGTCTTTGAAGACAAAAAAGTATACTGTGCTGGAAGTCCTGAAGTTCAGATCCATTCTACTGAGCTTCTTGTATCACTTCTACAAGGAAGACAGAAGCCAGCCTCCCTATTACACACTGCTGCAAGCTGTATTTCTAACACCTGACACAGGTGGTTTGATGCCTCTTACCACCTTCGCACACACATGGAAAGCTTTGTTTCAGTTTGTACTTGAGGTGTAAATACAGCTGTGTATTTAAAAGGAAGAATGCAGAGTACAAAAAATGCATAGCTGCAGCCTGTGCTTCTTAGTCAAGATTTATTTGCAATCTTTCCCTTGTGTTACAGTCCAGCCAACAAGTGTGTGAAAGATACAGAATTTGGATCTTTAACTTGAAGCTATAGAAACTATAAGAAACCAGAGGAGAAAGTGGAGAACTTTCTGGTGCAAACTTATTGATCTATGCCATAGGCACATCTCATAAGGATATTACTTATTAGCTAAAAATACATGAATGACCTTATTAACAGCCTGGCAGCACTGGTGATTCAAGCTGTGAAACAGCAGGGGAAAATCCAATAAAACCCAGGTTATTTCCTGTCAGGAAAAGCTGGTTGGTCTCCAAGGCAGCTGGAGATGGACAAAAGCGTTGATTATCAGCACAGTACTGCATGCCAGCTCAGTCTCCATTAGTCCAGACAATTTCTTAGTTATGGATGCAACAGTACATATCATTGCAGATATAAATATTCACATAAGGAAGAGGACTGTATAGCTAAACCACTCATATGTTTCTGTCTAGTGGCTTGAATTTATCTTCAGCTCTTCTTCATTCAAACTAGCACGCGTTTCACTGTAATTACTTCCAACAGCCTTAACTGAATGAAAAGCAAATACTAGTATCTAAAGCAAACTGAAAACTACTGAACTAAGCAACAACATGTCTTCATTAATTTAATCACAAATCACATGTTAAATAAGGTTCCCTAACTGAAACTCTCATGTCGATTATACCAGCACACCAACTAGAAAACAGCACAGTTGCCAAGTGGCTGCTCTTTTTTGTTTCTTTTAAAATGTTGACTAGTTGAAAAAATAGGAACGAGCAAACACTCATTGCATCGCCTCCTTCAAAGGAGCTGTCATGGTGATAACTGGCTGAAGGGAGGAGTTCAATGTGTTCAGCACCCTGATATGAAGACACTCCAGTGACACTGAAGGTTGTTGCTGATAGAAAAAAAGGTCAGAGTAAATTCTGTAGTATTAGTTTCACATGGCTTACTCTGTTACCCAGAAAATTACATCAAACAAAGACCCAAAACACACCCTTTTATTTTTTAAAGTAATTTTTTTGGTAGGCTCTGAGATGACAATAAACAAAATGTGAGGCAGATCAGTGGAACTTGAAAAACAGGACTTCAAAGTGGCAACAGGAGCAATGACAAGGAAAGCTGGCTGCAGCGGCAGCTGAGTGACCCTCTTGGAAATGTTAGGCAAACATTTTGCTTGTCTACTTGCACAGAAATCCAGTTTGCTGCACAAAGTGATGCCTTTATCACTATTAAGATCAACACTCTCTCTGTTAAGGCTGACATGGCTTGCTTCTTTTGACAGCAAACCTGCAACTTCCTAAGAGGACAAGGTTGCCAACTGATAAACCACAACATTTACAAGCAATAACTAGGCAGAGCTATCAGAAACATCTCTTCAGAACATAGGCTAAATGACTCCAAACAATCATAAATTAATTTTCTACACACAAAAACAATACCAAGACAGTGAATGTTTCTAATTTTGCTGTTTTTTTACCAAAGCACCCTTCTCACCCAGTATAGTATGTGGAAGTGTATGAAGACAAAATACTTGCAAGCCTGTTTGGTGAGGGGCTATTTTGAAGACAAATACATAAGGATTTTACCACAGATTAATTAAGATCATCCAAGCCAATCAGGCATGAAAGACAGAAAAATGAGGTATTGATGAGATCTGGCAGGGCACAGTAACCCAGCAACAGGTCACAGTAGTTAGATTTTATTATTCCATAAGCTATGAGTATTACTTCCTGAAATTTTTTAGGTACTGTACTCATTGCATTTAAATATGGAAGGCTGGTGGGTCAGAAACAGGCTTTGGATTTGTGAGGAATATCCTTCTACCAGTAAAAATGAATGTCTGTCTTTTACCAGTTATCTGTGCAGTTTTATTTAATATGTGGGGAATTTTTAAGCTGAACGCTGACTGGCCTTCCACAAGGGCATTTGGAGTGCTGAATAAAACCTACCACATTATAATGTGCATTCAGGAAGATTGGGCTCTTCCATTGTTCTTTTATAGGAGAAAGATGCACTGGTAAATTTTTTATTTGTTGGTCAAATAAAGTTCATTTCCTTTTGGTGGATCCTGAACCACAATATTTTTGGGTATCAACCCTGCAAAGAGTCAGCTCTGCAAATACTTACTACAAGATAAAAACTTCCTGAGTACATTGTGAGCACTTAATGATGTTCTGTATAGTTCTAGGTTAGGTATGAGTGGTGTATTTTTCCTTCTGTGTTAAAGTAAATTCATACATGACATCTGCACTGCATCTATTATTATGCAAGAACTTTTTAGAACCATCCTCCTTACATTGTTAAGAACAACGGCGTTACTGTACTCAGAAAAAAAAATACAGTTCACAAAATGCTAGAAAGTAACAAAATAACTCTAGGTTTAGAGGAGAGAGTAAAGCTTCTTTTTTTAATCGTGCATTTAACAGTAAAGCATTTAACTTGTTCACATTTACCCTGTATAGAAGACAGTCTTTTATGTCGGACCAGCCTAGCTACTACTTCTTCTGTATCCACAGTTTACACAAATAATGCAGCAACAACACTCCCCAAGGAAATTAAGGTCTAAGCACCTAACTGATCACAGTGATAAGCAGCTACTGTTTCTGCAATGTCTTACCTAAGTAGCTTCGCTAACAGCTCACCCCCAGTTTAAAAAAACCAACCAATTACACAGAAAAACAAACTTTCTGTGATACAGCTGCAAGGCTGCTTGGACCTTTTGTGAATTTCATACCAAACACTGACAAAATCAGAAGAAAAACTAGGGGGAGAAACAACAAAAAGCACCTAGCCTATGTTTTATTGGTGCACCACACATGAGAAAACACTAAGTTACCTCTACATATATACACATATAGGAATTACGATTTTAAAACCACAAGAATTCCCTTCCAAAAAAATCAAAGTACATCACCTGGTGTAATTTTAAAGTAAAATAAAATTCGATTATTAATAAAGCAGTGCTCTTCTAAGTTAATTGAAATTTTAATCTGTAGGAAAGCAGTTATTACAAGCTTGCCAAAAATTACCAAATAAAATATATGAGATAACATTTCTTGAATGCCTCTAAAGAAGACATGTGTACAAAACAAACCTTCTTACTCGGTGCACATAAAGTTTGTTAGATGGAAAGGGCACATTTTGCTATGGGATTAAAAATGTCAGAGTTCCCTGTGCTTACTTTACAATTCAATACAACTATTGTTTCCTTCGAGTGTGGTTTGGATAAAGTGCAACAGACAGATTCTCACGGGGAGAAACAAGGAGGCAGGAGGATTTAAAAGGGATCATTTTGAAAAGGCATTTTTGTGGTCTCACACACACACAGCAGGATTTAATAATTCCAACAATGGCCCTGTCCTCTTCCCCAGGAACTGAAATTAACCGAAGATGCAGGTTTGCCTTACCTGACTACACCAGATCGGCCAAGGAATTCCTACAACTACTCTCCTTTGTTAAATCTGGGAGGTATTACAGGGTTTACAGACTCCTAATCACTACACAGAACTATGGTCACTAACAGAGTGAATTCCCACCATAGTTTTTGGGCTTCTTTTTACCACTTTAATTGCAAACAACAAAATTTAACACACGTGCCACTTTTAAAATACATTCATAGCTCTACCCTGCTGTAGAAGTAACTGGACATGGAACATATTACAGGGATACCTTTTTCTTTTTGGACCATATGACACTTGATACATTTATTTTCATTCCTAGGAGCCTCCAGAGGGTCAGAAGCTCCTGCTGCAAGAGGTGCTGTGTGCCAGTGCATGGGAAGTTTGGGTCATTCCTAGGAGCCTCCAGAGGGTCAGAAGCTCCTGCTGCAAGAGGTGCGTGGGAAGTTTGGACCAGAGCACACCGCTTCTTCCTGAGCCACTGGATGGCGAAGAGGCCCTGCACAGAGCAAGATGGGACCTTCTCCTCTGGTGCCAATCACAAGGGGAGCAGGTCACCTTCATCTCTGTAGCTCATCAGCTGACACCACTTCCCCAGCGCACCAAGAGGGGTGAAGCTAGGCTTGCTCAACTTCCTCATAAATCATCCTCTGCTCCCAATCTCTTCCACTGTCCTCACAACAACCACTTCACCTTCTGTGATTGTGAATTTCAACTCACAACTCAAGGAGCAGACAGACCATCATGACTCCTGCCATGTGGAATGCCAGAAAAGGCACACAGCACTCCACACCGGTACTGCTACACCTCCATGTTACAAGCCACCTGTTCTGTAAAATACAGAAAACCTGGAAGAACTTGGCCTTCCTGCAGAACTAAACAGCACCTGTAGACCTCTGAAGAGATCTCACAGCCTTTACTTAACAGTTATACAGACTTGAAGAGGAAATGAAATGTTTTACCCTTGGTTCATTGTTTCACATAGTGAAACCATTAATCTTCCTTTTTTTGAATGCAGCAAATCCCGACATACTAGGTTTTTAAGGACTAGTTTCTCAGTACAAAGCTGCAACAGGAACAAAATGCAACTGTTTTAACATATTTCAGATACAATGGGTTCATGTAATTTCCTTACAATCAACTACAATGCATTTTACCCATATTTGTTATCCCTGCACTCTATAAAGACCAAAAGCATTTTTCCTGTTAGCTTTTCCATCTCTCCACCTAATTACAACTTAACTACAACTTTTCCCTTAAGCAGGGTGTCAGTAAAGAAGAATGCAACATAAATTCACTCCTCTCCCAGAATGAAGACCAACTGATCACTGAAAATCAGTTACTACATTTCCATATTTTTTCCATCCTCATGACTTGATATGATCAAGTTGTTGTGTTAGGGTGTTGTAAAACTTTAATTCAGGCCACTTTGTTATCTCAAAAGACAAAACTGCATGTAGCTGGTTTTTAGTAATTGTGATAGCTGATTACTCAGATAAAACCATCAGCAGACTGCACAGACTAAGGATACTTTTCTCTGTTTCAAAACATAATTGCAAACAAGCATACCATAACCTGCCTGTGATAAACAAGCTGGCAGCGAGTGCCCAGTAAAGTGAACTAAATTAAATTTTCAGTTATTTAGAAGCCTTGGGTCCTAAAAGCCAGCCTTAAAATAAGTGATTTATTTACTTGATTAAATTTAAATGGAAAAACCACAGTCTTTTAAAACTTCATTGTCAAACCAGCAGGTAGTCTAAAACCCATAAACATTCACTTGGATCCGGATTATGTTGGCTATATAATACCAATAGGTAATAAAACTCTGTAAATATCCAGTGTGAACAAAAGCTGGTGCAAAGTATTTTGTATTCTACAAACCACCTCTTTGTATGTCTAACTACCTCACCTCTTCTATCAAATACCATTTACTCATTCCATGGGAACTACCTAGACTTTTACAGAGAACTACAGGCCTCTCACTCATGAGACAATGCACATGCTGTCTGCCAATACGGACACCTTTAAAAACCCAAAGCACATAATAATTTGACATTGTTTTCTTACCAACAGCTATTATCGTATTAACTCATGAGAAGCAATGTGAAGAAAAGTTAGTTTATACTCTGTTGAAAACATCAGTGTTAAGGGTGTAATTTATATAGCCACAGTGTTTTGGTTTCACAGCACAGGCACTAGAAAATAAACAAATTTCAAAACATCTTTCAAAAGTTTTAAGCAAAAAATTATTGGGGGAGAGAATTCCAATTTATTTTTAAAAATTAAACTCATCAGGTTCTCCTTTTTACTTAATTTCATGTAGTCTTGGGCCCAAATTTATTGCAGGTACATTGTGAAGCCAGCACTGAACACGCACAGAGGCAAACGGAACCGAGTTCTGTTAACTTCCAAAACTTTTGCCTTCCCTTCATAAAACAACAGATTAAGAGATGGCAAACTGAGAACAGGGGAGAGAATGTGTTTTTAGCTTTTCACAGGTATGGAAGGCTCGCTCCAAGACTCCGCGCTGTGCTGGGATGCTGCCAGCAGGGCCGGTTCTCTAGGGAAGCACGACCTTCTCCTTCGCCCCGGCGGCGTCCGCTCCGGGGGCGCACCCGGCCCCGGCAGCCCCTCCGGGCGGGGCGCCCGCCGCCCCCTCCCGCTCGGGCAAAGCCCCGGGGCGGCCCCGGTACCTGTCAGTCTCCGGCGCTCGGGGTGCGCCAGGGCCAGCAGCCTCCGAGCCTCGAAGCGCGGCGGAGTGCCCGCAGCCCCGCGCGGCGGCTCCGCGCCCCGGCCTGCGGCGCGCTGATAAGGCTGCGGCTGCCGCTGCCGGCCTCCTCCCGGCGCCCCGGCCAGCGCCCTCTGCCGCCGCCGGCACGGGGAAGGGACGGGAGGGGGCCCGGGCCTGCTGAAATGGCGCCCGAGAAGACAGAGGGGATCTCGCTAATGCGTATAAATATCTCAGAGGAAGGTGCCAAGAGGAGGGTGCCAGACTTTTTTCAGTGGTGCCCTGTGAGACAGCGAGGAGCAGTTTCTATAACTGAAAGCATAAGAAGTTCAGTCTCAAAGTGAGGAATAACTTTAGGTTGAGGGTGGCAGAGCACTGGAACAGGCTGTCTGAGGAGGTCGTGGATTTTCGCTGTCTGAAGACATTAAAAATCCACCTACCGTGTTGTGTCACCTGCTTGAGGTGACCCTGCCTTGCCATGGGCTTGGACTCGAAAATCTCCAGCGGTCTCTTTCAACCCTAACAAGTCTATGATTGAGCCTGCCCTGCCCAGTGATGGCAGAGAACCAGCCGATCCCAGGAGAAAAAAGCAGGGACTTGGCTCCCTCCCCTGTTCCTCCCTTCCAGGCCTGCATGGGTCACAATGTCTCCAGTTATCTCAGGCTGGCCGCCAGACCTTGCCAGCCTGTGTCCATGGGTTTGGTCTTGGTCCAAGCAAGGGAAAATGTCCATCGAGGGGAGAGCTGCCTTTTGGAGACACCATGTGCCTGATCCCATGCTCAGGCTGGTGTCTAAAGGATCAATATAAACTGGCCTTACGTGCCCGTGCTTGGGCTAGAGCCGACAGGATTAGAAGGACGAATGGGTTCAAATGAAAAGATAGGAAATTTAGGATAGATATTAGGAAGAAATTCTTTACTGTGAGGGTGGTGAGATACTGCAACAGGTTTGCTCAGAGAAGTTCTGGATGCCCCATCCCTGGAAAAGTTTAAGGCCAGTTGGGATGGAGCTCTGATCCAGTGGGAGGTGTCTCTGCCTGTGGCAGGGGTCTTTATGGTCCCTACCCCTTAACATTACTATTTTTTTCACATAACACTGCTCAAGGTGCAAACCATTTACCAAACAATCTCCTGCCCCAAACCTGATTTAAGAAAAAGAAATTAACTCATGGTTTTCCTGAGGCCACACAGTACCAGCAGCCAGCGCAGGGAACTGACTGTCCGTTTTCTGCACCAGAGTGCCCAGTACAGAGATACTGTACTTTAATTTTAAATTTTTGGGTCAAGCTTCTGTATAAATTAGTTAACATCAGTTTGTGAGACTAGGTTTGCCACAGTGGTTTGAGCAATCACACTTTCAAGTCTACAAATGAGTAAAATTGTATTAAAAGATCATGAGAAAACACAAACAGTCTTTTACTACTGCAAATGATATAGCCAAATTCCCAGTATTTAGGGAAATCAAGGGGTTAGCACACCCAGCAACAGTGCTGAAGAATGAAGCCTCATCCTGGGAAAACCACCATAGCAGTTTCCCTTGATATTTGAGTGAATTAGCATAAACCTCCCTTGATACTTGAATGAATTCCCATAAACCTTCCTCGCAAGAGGCGTGCAGTTCAAGGGAAGTAGCTCCACAGCCTCACCCCAGTACGTGGGTTTCCTCCTTTCCCACAGCCAGCCTTCCTGCCCTCCATAACGCTGCTCTCAGGCGCTGCTAGGAGGGCATGGTGTATATATGGTATATCAAATGACAGAATGGGTCAGGCTGAAAAGGACCAGGGGGTTCATCTGGTCCAACCTCCCTGCTCAAGCATCCTAGAGCACCTGGCACAGGATTGTGTCCAGATGATTCTTTAACATCTCCAGTGACGGAGACCCCAAACCTCTCTGGACAAGCCGTACCCAGGTGGAATTTCCTGTGTTTCTGCCCATTGCCTCACGCCCTATTGTTTGGCACCACGGAGAAGAGCCTGGCTGAATCCTCTTCGCACCCACCCTTTAGCTATTTGTACACATTAACGAGGCCCCCTCTCAGTGGTGCCTTAAGCCGCAGTCCCGGGGCCGTTTCCCGGCGCTCGAGGCCCTCTCGGCGCCAGGCCGCGGTTACCGCGCCGGGCCCGCAGGCCGCCAGGGGGCAGGGCCCGGGCGGCGCGCGCGGAGCTCCCGGGGCCGGCCGGGCCGGGCGGGCCTGTGAGGGGCGGTGGGGAACTGTGGGGGACCTGGGCTGCGCTCGCCCCAGGCCCGCGTTTAGGACGATTGTTTTTTAGTAATTCTCTTCCGCTGGAAAAGGCAGTGCAGCCGCCTCTTCCCGCGGGCCAGGAGAGGGCCCGGGCGGTGCCTTTCGGCGGGATCGTGCCGACCGAACCCGCGTTTCCCAAAACAGAGGAATCAATTGGTTTGGGAAAGACTTCTGCGATCATCAAGTCCAACCTATGACCAAACACCACCGTGTCAATTAGACCATGGCAGCCGGTGCCACATCCAGTCGTTCCTTAAACGCTTCCAGAGACAGTGACTCCACCACCTCCCGGGGCAGCCCATTCCAGTGTCTATTCACCCATTTTGTGAAGAATTTCCTCTTAATGTCCAACTTTAAACCTCCTGTGGCACAGCTGAAGACTGTGTCCTCTTGTCCTGTCGCCGGCTTCCTGGGAGAAGCCAACTCCCACCTGGCTGCACCCTCCTTGCAGGGAGGGATAAGGTCAACCCTGAGGCTAAACCGAGTTTTGGAAAACTACTTGTGTGATTTTGGGGCAACCCTCCCCAAGGCTGTTAAAGGGGAAAACATTCAGTATATTTTAGTGAGAGGGTTGGTGAGCTGACCCTGCTGTGGCCTGAGGAGCCTCACGCCACTGCAGGCTGTGTGCCATGGTGCGCCCCAGGGGCCAGCACGGCATCCCCCACATCAGCCCCAGGGTGGCTGCCCCCATCTCCGAGGGCTGGGGATTAAATGGGGTCTGGGACACAGGACAGAGCAAACTTCAAACCTAGGTGAGATGTTAAGGGCCAGGGTCTTGCCAGACATGCCACAGCAGTGGCCCGTATGGGGTGCTGGAAGGTGCAGAGGGGAAACCCAGTGAATGTAGGGGAGGATACAGGTGAAAGCACAAGAAGGGCACACGCTTCTTGTTTATGTCTTGCAATGAAGCTTCAGGTGCTGTCAAACCTGTGCTGTCAAACCTGTACTGTCCCCAGGTTATCTGACTGGGTGTACGAAAGCTGATCGGGTTTGATGTTGTAGAGTAAACTGCAAACATTAAATTTCTATTTAGTTATTGCATGTTATTGAAACAGTTTTGTAGCCTCTCTGCATCTTCAGGGAGAGAAAAACAGGCACTTCAGGACAAAAGTCTTTGCATTGAGTGAAGCAAGCAATGCAAAAGCAACAGAGCATTGAAAAATCCCATAATACGTATTTTTTCAAAGCGCCGTTTAAAGGAAAATGAAACATTTTCATTGTGAAACTAAACCTGAATGAAGCATACAGTTCCCAGTGTACCCGTGAAGTGTGCAGGGTGGGGCTCCAGCATCTCTGCATGTAGATGTCACTGAGGTGTGTGATCTCTCTGTGCAATAAAACCATCCACAGAGACACAAACAGTGCTTCAGAAAGGCAGATTCTCAGCACTTGTGTCTGTCCTATGCAAGTTGCAGGATGAGAGCAGTTGGACAACCCAGGGTGTTTTGTCTTGAGAGACTTCAGGGAAGTAACTTACAGATAAATAATTTCAAAAAGAAAAGAGAAAGCCAAGCACTCCCCACCTCCTGCATGACAAGGAGAACTGTCTAGCAAAAGCACCAGAAAGTTTAGGTGCAGCATAGCTTTACACTCCTGTTTGGTTTAGGCTTTATTTCTGGATTAAAAAATAATATATAAAAAACACAACCACCTCCAAACTCACAGATGATTCCACAGTCATCCTAAATGGTCGTGAAATATTTGCACTAGTGGAGTGGAGTTGCCAGGGGGGAAGAGAGTGCCTAAAATTCTGGCTATTCTTTTCCAGTCTGTTAACCACATGCAGATTGCTCTGCTGTTGCCTTAAGCAAAAATGGCAAAAAGCAGCAGCAGTCCTGCACATGCCTCCAACTAAGCTAGTCACCCATTTAAGAAAAAAAAAAAAAAAAAGGCAAAAAAAAGGCAAAAAAAAAAGCAAACACGCCTTACTTAAACTGCAGTAATGGGCTGGAGTTGTGACGTGTTAACCTAAAATACTACAAAGTCACATGTGCACTCACAACTCCAGTCCCTGGGAGCAAATGTTTAGGGCTTGGCGGATTCCTGGTGTTGAAGTACGTGCAGCTCCGGAAGGATCTGTGCTAGTTCTAAAGGGCAACTTGTCAGTACATGAGTTTTGTTGTGCTTTTCTGGATGCCAGACAAATGGCCATTCTCCACATGCAGTTGGCACTTGTCTGGGAGTTGTCTTACAGCATGACCCCAGTTTATCACTGCAGCAGCACACAGCAGCTTCTGCCCTTATTTGCCCTGTCCCTCTCCATGAACTACAAAGCATCAGTGGCTGTTGCAAAGCCAGGCACAGGGCTGGCCTAAGGCAGGCATCAGAGAGCACAGGTAACATCGCTGCTGTCCAGAGAACAAGAAATGCCTTCTGGCAGGAGTGGTTTGTTATCTAGCAGTCTTTCTCCCCTTAGTGTCCACCTATCTCATCATTTCCAGGAACTTTCCAAGATTCATGTGCAATCCAGCCTTTGGATATTTCAGTGGGGTATTGCTGTGTCTCCAAACAGAGCTACGGCACTCTCTGCTGTCTAGGTAGCCCGCTTGTCTAAGTGTAAAAATGGAGTGTGATCTGGCAGCTTCCAAATTAGGGGCAGGGGGTTCAAGATATCCCTGAATATCCCCAAGAATATCCCAAGATCAAAGTTTCTTTCAGGTGGAAACAGGCAATTCAGTCTGCTACAGCTTAACTCTGTTAAATAATTTTAAGCCACAGGAAAAACAAACAAAACAATTAATAAAAGGCAAATAAAAATCGAACAAACAAAAAACCAACAAACAAGAAACACCCCAACCCAAACCCCAGGCTTGATATTTACAGGCCCTTTCCAAGGAATGCAGGGTAATAATTTC